TTAGTCAGGTGTATATTTTCCATCATCTTCTGCCACTATGAAGATAATACCAGATGTAGGCTGAATAGAAACAGGACCTTATTCCAGCACTATGGAATGAATAGCTAAAGATGAAGTGTTTCAAAACAAAAATCCAAATTCTTATTTAGATTATGCATTAGTCCATATTCAGCCAGTTTTTTATAACATGTGTTTGCAGAAAAGTACTTTGATTCAGTTGCCTGAAGGTTACATTTTACCAATAGTCATTTTGGAGGATGTGTCAGGAAATTACATTGCTTAGTATCAGAGAGGCCATCAGGCTTTCTGGTAATTAGCTTATATCTGAGTGAAATGCTTATGACATTTACTTTAGCTATGTCTTTCTTTTCTTTTATTTTCCTTTTTTTATTTTTAAGTGGCCTGAGGGCATGTGCAATTGCCACGGAAAGAAAGAGAGAGAGTCACCTCCTAATCAGGCATGGTTCCTGCACAATCCCTTCCTTCCGTTTCTCCAGCTCATCAGGATTTGGGGTGCCCATACACATGTGCCTTTCAAGATGCCAGGGTGAGGTCACTCTGTGAGGCTGATCCACAGGAGAAAGTTTAGGGTTTCTGTCCAGAGACCCCTCAGCATGCAATGGACCCCCACGTGCCCATGAGCCAGAGCTGGTTGAACCTGGAGGGTGGGTCACGGTGTCAGGCCCCTGCTGGGGATGCTATCTCTCTGCATCTCTAACTCATAAAAGGAATCATTAATCAACTTTGAAAAAAAGTGAGAAGAGTAACTAATGTACTTTCTAATTTGCTAAGATACTAATGCTACCACCTCACATTTTCTGATCAAAAATCTCACTGCCTTGACTCGTGTCTATTCTATAAACGATTTATTAAATGGAAAAAAGTTTATATTTTGTGATATTTTATTATAGGGGAAACAAAACTGTCTGATGTTAAATAAATTGATCATCCTGAATTAGAATCATGACACTTAATAATAATTTCACAAAACATATTTTCCAGAAAAGTAATTTAAGCATTAATTCAATGGAACATAATGGAAGAGATCTGAAATGGTTACCGAGAGATGACTTTAATCTAAAGCCTTGGCTTTTATATTAAAATTTACCAAGATAAAATTAGATAAGGCCAAGATCAGAGAAAATTATTCAGAATAGTTGCTTTTATTTTTTTCCCTCCTCAAGGCTAGTTTCCTTTTGGGAACTCACTCTGAATTCATAAACCTTTCTTTCGTTAAACTTGTTCTTTCTTGCTTTCATAAAAGAATGAAAGTCCATTTATTGCATTACAAAACAGATATTTTACGTGTACATTTTTTATACTACCTCTCCCTTTAGGAAGAAAGATAGATTAATTTAGGACTCTAAAGTAATATTTTTATATTCAGAGGAATCACGGAAGTTTAATCAAATTATCCAGTGTTATAATCAAAAAACAAGTTCTTAAAAACTACAGGGTCAGCAGGTGACATGGTGGTTAAGGTGCTAGATCCACATGGGTGATGCCACGGTTCAAGTCCCAGACCAAGCAGCTTGAAAAGCGCATTGAGTGTATGAGTATGCATGCCCCAAATTCCGAGAGCAGAAAGGAGAAGAGATTGCAATGTGACCATCCCCCCAGGGAGACTGATTTACCACTTGCTCTCTCTCTCTCTCTCTCTCTCTCTCTCTCCCCTTTGAGCACATATGTGCTATAGCAAAAAACTTAAAAAAAAAAAAAAAAAGCTTGGTTACTAATTTACATCTCACTTGTAGATGAAAATATAGAGAGCAAAGAATGAAATGTAAAGTATATTAAAGGATGTCCAGAACTATTATACCTACTATAATCAATACTCAACTTTACCAAACACGAAATTCAACAATAACATGATAGAATACACAGCAAAATATGGAAGCGTCTACCCAGATGAGCATTTCTCTAACACGGACCTTGAACTAAACAACTCAATTGGCTTCTTCTGTCTTATTCGTGTCATTCGTAGATTTCACCTGACCTGGCTGATGCGCCTCACTCATACTGCTTACACAGAAAATGATACACCATCCAACAATGATTAAGGGAATATGAATATTAATACTCGTAAATTTGTTATGCATTCTGCTGCCCTTTAGAATGTCTCTTTGCATGTTAAATTACTCAATATGAGCAGTATCTAATACATATATATTGAAAAAATGAGAGGTTTTTTTTTTTTTTTGGAGAGATTTTCGCTATAGGGCGCGTGCGCTCGCCAGACAGACAGAGAGAGACATAGAGACAGAAAGCGAGAAATCATCCCCCAGAGGGGATGGTCACGCCGCAATCCCTTCTCCTCCATTCTCCTCTCGGGATCTTGGGCACGCACGCACATGCGCCCGGCGTGAGTTTTAAGCCACCGGGTCCGGGACGTGAACCGCGGTCGACTACATGGGAGTCCAGCGACATAGCCATTACGCTAACTGCTGGTTCCCGAAAAAATGAGAGATTTTTGAATTACAGATTTTTCAACTCTGTCCAGCAAAATAGATCTTTTCATTTTAAAGATGATTGATTTTCTGAAAGGAAAAAGAACCTAATTACACTTTACTAGCTTTTGCCTTTACGTTTTAATTCCTTTTTAGTCATTGTATACATGTCTAAGGATGTTTATGTTTGAAATCAAATCTTATTAATAGATGCCAATTGAGCATCTCTTATGTTTGCAAGTTACCATAGCAAAAAGGCCGGCCAAAATTTCTATACTTTCTTCACATGGTGATTTCTCTAGTCTTTGCAATTCTAATCATTATTATATACTTAAATAATCAAACGTATCATATTATGAATTATAGTTACTACAAATTTTTGACTTAATATTTTCAAAACACAAATACTTCTGTGATCTTTTAAAAAGTTCATTGAGACCATTTTACTAAGCTTTACTAAAACTACTCTAACTCTTGGCTTCAATAAGCCTCTATAGTCATAATTTGATTTGTTTTGCCTTAATAAAGTATTTTTAAGTGAATCTTAGTAATGACTTTTAAGTTCTTTATAATTACTTCATCCAGATCACAAAATCATAGTGATTTGTAGTAATATTAGTAGTAGAACTTAATGGTATCACTATTTTAGTTTTCAGATTTTGAAAATCGGTTTTATTGAAATCATTTAAAAATGTTTAAGATTAATGAGCTTTTATCAATATCAATGATCAATAATGAGTTTCTCATCATCTGAGAGGACCTTCAAGTACATTGCTTAACAAAGAAAATAAATGGTTTAAAACCAATTCATATGGAGATTCTTTTCAGCTAGTATACATAAACATATATATGATGGTTTTTGTTTTTTTGTTTTTAACCACATGATGTGGCTTCTAAAGTGAAATAGGCTTTCAAAAGAAATCTTACTAAATGACATTAAAGAAACTCAAGTAACCATAAGGAATAATTCACAGATCAGAATTGCACTTCAAATATTCAAACTAATATGATTTATTTATAAACAATTTGTTTAACTTAGTTGATACATATACATCTTGAAGTAGACTCATAGAAGTTGTTATATCTTGTTTTCTCTTTAAAGTAAACAAAAGAAGTACTGTTATCATGAATTTCTAAAGTAGAAATTAAAGCTTAAAAGAATTAATTGCTATCCCCAAGCAAATACATTGAGCCAAGATTTTAGATTTTTAAATGATTCTTTGTTCTTCATCATGGTGGGCTACCAAACATAATAACTGATATTCCTATATTATCTGGATTTCTTTTTCCAACTGTTATTTTATTTTATTGTTTACTATGAAAAATCTTAAAACATACATGAAAATATAAGATATAATTACTCCGCTATACTTTTTGTTTTGTTTTTTTATTTTTGTTTTTTGAGTTTTTTGTTTCGCACATTTTTTTTTTTTTGGAGAGAGAGATTTTTATTATAGGGCATGTGTTCTCATGGATGAGACAGAGAGACAGAAAGCGAGAGATCACCCCCAAGGAGGTATGGCAATGACGCAATCCCCTTTCCTCCATTCTCTTCTCAGGATTTTGGGCACACATGCACATGTGCTCAGTGTGAGTTTTAAGCCACCGGATACAGGACTTGAATTGCAGTTAGCCACATGGGAGTCCAGCACCTTAACTACTACAACACCTGCTGGCCCCAACTCCCTGTATGTTTTTGTAAAGCAAATTCCACATACAATATTGTTTCAACCTCATTCATCTACATAAAGAACTTCTTTTTTTAAACAAACAAACAAAAATGCCATTTCAATACCTAACAAAATAAATTATAATTCTGTAATAACTCACTCAGTCCTCAAATTTATCACTTACCTTTTTATTGATAATAATATCTTTATCATATTCATTTTCAAGTTGAAGAAGCAATAACATTAAACTGAAGCTTTCAAACCTTGGCTCTTGTTGCATAAATATGAGAAAATTAGCCTCTTGGATCTTAGTGTCTTTCATTTATTTATTTATTTATTTTTATTTTTATTTTTATTTTTATTTTTTTGCTATAGGGTGCGTGCATTCGCCAGAAAGACAGAGAGAGACAGAGAGACAGAAAGTGAGAAATCACCCTCCAAGGGAGATGGCCATGCCACAATCCCTTCTTCTCCATTCTCAGGATCTTGGGCGGACATGCACCTGGTGTGAGTTTAAGCTACTAGGTCTGGGACTCAAACCATAGTTGACTACATGGGAGCCCAGCAACATAGTCATTACACCATCTACTGGTCCCAGTGTCCATTTTCATTGCAAGTATTTTCCTTTTTAAAAATATTGTTGTTTTATAGTTTTTTTTATTTTATAATTCTTTTCCAACCAAACTTATATTTCCATAAAAACCTTTAAAATCCTTCAAGACACAAGAATCATATATTCATGTTACCTAATGCATTCCCTGACACAGAATATAAAAATTAGGAACTGAAAAGACTGAAGGTAGCTTAAACAATTCTTAGATTATCAATGAAAGTTAATTGGTTATATCAGAGTTCTAGGATAAAACATTTGTTCAACACTTACCTGAAGGATAAAGACTCTGTTCCTCTAAGAATTCTAGATCAAGCATTAGATCATCTTCATCCAGTTCACAAGATCCCAAATTATTCAAAACATCCTGAAGGAAAAGCAAAATCAATATTTAAAGGCCAACATACTGAGAAATTGGAGAAATGTCCATGTGCAGAATCCAAGAAGCAAAGAGAAGTCAAAATCAGAAATGAAAATTATTAACCATATCTCAGGAATTATTTTATTCTTATGACATTTAAAATAATCAGTCCAATAAAGAATTCCAAAATGTATCCTAAAAATTCTTAACTTTTCCAACTATTTGCATGTTAGTTTTTTTAAAGAACAGGTAACATAATTAAATGGAAGTATATATGAGCAAGTATAAAAGACAGAATATAAGGTATCATTTTCTAGATATTAGAAATACCAAAAAAGTTTGGTTTAATCAGAACTTCATTAATAATCATTAAAAATAAGAATTTGCTTATTAAAAATATACAATTAATGGGGCCAGCAGGTGTCATACTGGTTTAGGTGCTGGACTCCCATGTGGTCAATCATGGTTTAGGTCCCAGACCCAGTGGCTTGAAACTTACACCCAGATTGTGTAAGTACCCAAAATCCAATCCCAAGAGGAGAATGAAGAAGAAGAGATTACGGCATAGTCATTCCTTTGGGGGGAGGGGGTGATTTCTCACTTTGTCTCTGTATCTCTCCCATGAACACACATGTCCTGTAGCAAAAATCTCTCAAAAAAGATAAAGCTTTTCAAAAATACATAAAGTCTGAAATAAAACTTTAATATTTTTATATTCATATTTCAAGTCTAAGTAAAATTATCTAACATATTTAATGAATTATTTCTCAAACAAGTTCTGTGTACAGTACCAACTGTAAAACATTAATTTAGACCATATTTGGAAGTAAAATTTAATTACCATTTCCACTATGCAGTATATTCTGAAGGGGAAATCACATTTTGTATACTGCGACATGCTCAGGAATGAATGTTAATTAATTAATTAATTGAAAATGTTTAAGAAAAAAATTACAGTGCACTTGTCACTAGAGTCTAGCTTTGTCCATATTTTTAGTTTAAGGTATTTTGTGAATCAATAAAATGTTGGAAAAAGAGTTTAGTATGGAGAAGGGAAAAGGGAAGAAAAAAACATAAAGTATGCTTAATTGACAAAAAAAATAAGAAGCTATTTGCTGATAAGTTAGAGCAATATCTTTGACTTGACTGACATGTATAGTATTTGTGCTGGAAAAAGAAATGGTGTACACTGTAAAGATGTGATTAAATATAAATAAATTAATAAAATTACCATTTCCCACTCATTTGCTTTGGCTTATTAAGAATGAGCAGTAGAAATATATGTCAACTAGATTAAAAAACAATCATTGACTCTAATTTTGCCGTAATACTTGAGAACTGGTGAGATATGAGTGGAATCTCTGGCTAGGAAGATATGGTTAAAAGTCCATGCAATGGAGAATACAAGACAAGATGGAGTCCCTATAGTCAAGCCTTCAATACAAATCCCTTGCTGCTATCACTAAGAGTCAATTATTAGCTCTCACTACTTGCTTACACAGAAAGCTGCTTGCAGCCTGCTTGATATGATGACAACTGAGGCAATCATTTTTCAAATCATTACTGTATTCCAGCAAAAGATTGTAATCTCTCCCATCCTGGAGAGTAAGAGAACAAAGGATCTTGAACAATCATTTGAAAAATGGGAACATGGCATGCAGGCTAGCACCTGTGAGAGAAGGGGGTCTAAAAGAGATTACGTTTTGGAGGTAGCAGGGGAAATACATCAACGAACAGAGCTTCATCTTAGACTTGCAGAAAACATGATAAAACCAAAAAACTTTATGGGCCATAGACCTGAGTTAATAAATTAAGGTCTGAATGCCCCAAATCTTCTTTTTTGAACCCACTCCCAAATATTAATAGGAAAAGAATGATGCAAATAACCTGACACATGGTCCCCAAAAGGGAAATGCATGCACAAGTCTCTCCTTACTGGGGTAAAAACCTCATTGAAACCCTTCTTCAGCAACCCATTCCTGGGACCCCATTCTGCTTGGGAACTCTGTTTCTCCTCTCCTCTCTTAATAAACTTGCTTTACTATCCCTTCTCTGGGTTTGCATCTCTAACTCTTTGTGAGTGTAAGACAAAGAAACTAATCATCTCACAATCCTCAATTCAGTACTGGGGTCAGATCTGATCACCTCAACTTCCTGCATCACTGGGATTATATTTCCCATTTATTTATAAGAGGGAAAATATCAAAATAAACTATTGAGTTGTAGGAAAAGTTATGATGCATTTTTGCACAGGAAAATATGTCATGACTTTCCCAACAACCCAACAGAAAGGTATATTGAGAAATCTTAGAGGGAGTTGGGCCATTGGAGAGTAGCCTCAGGAGACCCACAAAGCCATCAACATTTTGATCTTGGACTTCCAGCCTGCAGAACTAAGAGAAAACTAATTTCTAATATTTAAGCCACTCAATCATTGGTACTTTGTTAAGGCAGTCTTAGCATACCAATATAGCCAACAACATTATGAAACAATGAAAGAGGGAACAAAGGAAATAAAGGAATGCCTAGGATATGAGTGTCATCTTTTTAAAATTATGTCAACTAAGGACATTTGATATATTCTAAGCTTCTATTATATGGTTTGCACAGCATTTCTCTTTGATTTGGAACCATTCCAACCTAACCACCTAGAAGAAGTAGACACTAGATTCTGGGTGCGTGCATGCATACGTGTGTGTGTGTGTGTGTGTGTGTGTGTGTGTGTGTGTGTGTGGTCTTGTGGCTTCCCTGGTGATCCGCAAAGCTGTATTTACCTTCCTTGTGGAGTGTTCCTGGAAGAGGAACCTCAAGACTGGTGGGTACCTCTACCCTCCTGTAGGAAGCCTCCTGGGACCCACCAGGCACTGAAGCCCCTGTTTCCCTTCAGCTTCTACCGCCCCAGCCCTCCTTGGCAGCCCCTCCATGGCAAGGCCTAGGGCTGCCTCCTGGTTAGGGACCTGGCATTTTCCCATTTTCCACGTCAAGGAGGTGGTTAGAATAAATGCCACTGATGAGAGAGCCAGGAGGCTGGGGGTGATGGCTTTTGGAGGAGATGCCTGGGGAGTGGGCCTTACACTAGCCAAACTCCCTATTCTTGGTGGACAGTCCAAAATGGATAAATTAACCAAACTTGGTGACCAGAGACCTTTCCTAGAAGTGAGAAAAGTGTCTGTGAATCAATAATGAAAAATGCAAGCACTCCCATCAGAAGACCCATGCACCTCATTATGTGACCCAGACCAGTCTGAGTCTACCTGAAAAATAGAAAATATGACATAGTGTAGGTCATCAGCTTCCTAGTTGCAGCTGTTCCTGAGGCTCAGGGCATACATGATCATTTTAAGTTTGGCTTGTTGAACCTCCTTTGAATTCTAAAATTCTTTTCAGAAAGTAAAATTTTAAAAGATGGTATTTTTTTAACAGATAAATACTCAAGAACCCTGCCACAGTTATTTCAACCTACCATATGAGAAACTAACATAAATAAAGTGAACAAATTGAATTCAGAAAACTCACACATTGTTCTGATTTTATTCTCATTTTGCAGGTGACTCTTGACATTTGGACTAGCAGGGCTCCATTTACCACTGGTCTAGATGAATTGCTTCTTAAATCTACTCAGCCTAAATTGCCTTGCTTTGATATCTTGCTTACAAAGTAACTTTCTTGTTAGTGTAACAGAGAATCTTTGAAGCTGGTGAAACCTCACAATAAAAGGAAAGTAGATGCTCCAATGTGATGTGACAGAAGAAAATCAACTTGAACTCATAAACCAAAAAAAGATACCTTTGCCAGAAAGATTCTAAAAAAAGACCAACGGCAGCAACAGTATGAAGGGACTTCAAAAATTTTGTGGAAAAAAAATGAAATTAAAGTACAAGTTTATTTTTGGTGCAAAAAAACCCCCTGAAATCCATGCATTGCTTTCCCCTAATATGCATTTTCCCTGAACTTTTTGAGGATCCCCTGTACTTCTGCCCACAGTCAACATTTATGAGGATACTAGCACTTTGGCTCCCTATTGTGCAATACTCACTAACAAAAAGAGCCAGGGCTCCTTAGTTATGAGGGAAAATTAAAAAGTAAATAAATAAATAAAATAAAAAAAAACAAACAAATAAAAGAGAAATGAATGAAATAACCAAATAGAAGCTTAGACATGCTCTTGTTCTCAGGTGGCAAGGTTCACCAAAAAAAAAAAAAAAAAAAATCAGAGGCTGTTTTGAAAGGTTAGCTAAGAAAGCTACCGAAATGACTCCTTCTGGGTACTCTAATAATAGGAGCATCAAAACAAAAACGAGCAATAAGAATATGGCAACATGGAACAATTTGAGTTCATCAAAGGTTATGAGCTCATAATATTCAAAGAGAAAAGTTAAAGTAATAGAAAGGATTGTGACCAGCAGATGATGAAATGGTTACGTTGTTGGACTCCCACATAGTCGACTATGGTTCAGGTCCCGGACCCGGGCACTTAAAACTCATGTTGGGCACATATGGGTGCGTGCATGCCCAAAATCCTGAGAGGAGAATGGAGAAGTGATTGCAGTGTGGCAAGCTCTCTGGGAGGTGATTTCTTGCTTTCTGTCTCTCTGCTTCTTTCTGTCTCTCTGGCAAGTATACACACCCTATAGTTAAAAACCTCTCTAAAATAATAATAATAGTAATACTATGAATGTGAAGGATATAAAGAAGATCAACAGTACCAAAATAAGCAGGGTTGGCTCCATGGTGCAGCAGCAATGCTTTGTTCAAGAGATGCCAGATTCCACATGGTGACCACAGAAGGAATTCCCAGTTTGGGCAAGCTGAAACATGCCAGGAATCCCAGAATCCCATGGGCTGGGAGAATGGAGGAAGGAGATTGCAGCATGGCCATGAGTTCTTATTTCTCTGTGTTCTGTCTTTCTCATTCTTACATACACAAACATGAACTCTATCATGAATAAAAGAAAAGAGTCATACCAAAACAGGTGAGGAAAATCTTTAACTTATATTGTATGTAT